ACTGTCACATGACCAAATGAACATGGCCAGTCCCCTCCCCTCCTCCTACTAACACAAACGACAACAACTAGTTATTTATAGAAGCATGTTTCATTATTGTACCAAAATCATCACAAATGACCAACATTGGCCCTATATTGAGGCCAATTGTGCATCCCTAGTTACTACTTCATGGAGTAATCTTATCTGTGAAGTTTACCAGTACCTCCCGCAGCAAACACAATCCATACTTTCTCACCTCACATCTGCGATTTTGTCCTGAATACACGTTTCTTTACTGTGTATCGTCTTAGTTTAAGCAGACAAAATTACGTTTCCTAAAATGTAAGTCTTTATATGGAATGACTAACTGATCTGCCTTTTCGTGCTTCTGCTACAGTAATAGTTTTACCTGATGTTGGTATGGGAGTCATTTAACGTGTATATCTCTTATCCTAGGGTCTTTAGTTTTTGTTCTGAGCTTTATTTGAACATTTCACACATATCCTAATGTAAGTAAATGACTAACAATAAAAAACACAATAAAACATCTAAAAAATGGCTCTAATTATTCTGGAGTTTTGCTAATAAAAAGTTTTTGGATCCCTACAGACTTTAAAGAGACAAAGGAACATCCTGATCACTGATAGTTTAATTGACTGACTGTAACCGTTTTTGGGACTGCCCACACTTTTTATCCCTTCTAACATAAAATGAGACAAAGTCCTGCATCTTTAAAAGTCACGGCTGCAGGACAGACGCTTTTATAGCGTTTGGCCGACATCCAGTGACATTCAGTGGCAGTAAGGAAGCCTGGCAAGACTAACGAGAGCCGTCTTTAAAGTCGATCAATCTGATTGACCTGCACACAATCCTTTTAGCATTTTACTCTGTTCTGTCCATCTATTAGAATAATAAATAATGATCATCCATTGTTCTCTAATTGGGGAATTCAAGTTTATCAGCAGAAAAGTGATGGGTGAGTCAAAGCATGCAGATTTACACAAAGTAAACACATATAATTAAAAGAGAAGCTAAGGACAAAACTTTTAAGGAAGAAAGTTGTCTTCATTTATAATAAGCATTCTAAGTTAAATAACTGTGCAACTACTGAGGGATTGAAAATAAAACAAAATGTCTTTTTCTATCCGACCTACTGTGCAAATAAATTGCTAGCTGCTGAATCAGATGGTTTACTTGAAGAAATTAGAAATTATCTTACATCTTAGATGAACTGTGCACAGTCATCTGGTGACAAAACACCTGAATATCAAACACCAACATATCATAAGCTGTGATTTACATACTACTACTAAGAATTACATTGTTTATTGTTTCCTGAAAGACAAAAAAAAAAAGGATCAAAACAGCAGGTTGAGTCTCTAGAATTGAGCTGCAATACACTGAAATAATGCAATGTTAGCAGGGTAGGACATAAAACAATTGTGTTAAAGTAACTAAATATGATTAAGTAAATGCCAAAAGTGTTGCATTATTTTTTTCCAGTAGAGCAGTAGAGATTTTATTATGAAGCAACAGGATCAGCATTCATGCTGTTGTTTTTCCTGTGTTACAGGATACATTAGTATGGTTAATGTATGTTGAGGATGCCCCATCCTCAACATACATTAACAGTACGTTAAGTTTGCCCCAATTTAAACAAAATGATCTGAACAAGTGTTTAGAAGGAGGCGTTTTGGATTGCAAACTGCTGCATCAAAACATGCAGTATTACTATAAAAACAAGCAGAAGATGGAAAATTAATGTTTTAGTTTTATAATATGACTGTTCACATTTATAAACATATTTTGGATCTACTTTATATTCAGTTGCCTTTCAGCAACATGTCCCAAACCAACTCAATCGTTCTCTCCAGGTTAAAAATTGGTCTGTTGGAGATTTGGACAGTATGATAATGTTTTTGGTAAACATGGGGATTATGGTTTTTCTTCAACAAAACAAACATAAACAATCATTTATAGAACATTTCTGAATATATATTTCCCTTTTGATCCAATGCATCAGGACTAAGAAGGCAAGAGAATGTTCCTTTGAACTTGATAAAAAGGAAAATATGTTAATTCTTTGGGAAATACTTTAATGTGTGAATTGGGATAATCTTGGAATCGCTTTATTTTCTCTTGGATTTAAAACATTTAGCTGCATGAAATAAGCTGCAGTGCATTTTGTTTTTTAGTGCTCAGCAAATTCAGAACTGCAAGGTCAGACCTTAAAGAAAACCAAAGTAGGCTAAAGGAAGATAAACCATCTATTAAAAAAATATCTATGATTTATATATATTTTTGTTAGTTTAAAATACTTGCAAAACAGATTTTTAATTCATTTTTTTTCTTCTGGGAAATTTACAGAATAAGACTAAAATCAAGCTTCCCATTTTTTCTCCCAAATGCATCAATGGTCATTATGCAAATGTCCTGTTCCCAAAGAGTATAAAAGGTTTATATCATGCTTTTTAAGCCTTGCTATGGCACTACAAAGTTTTCATTTTGTTTATTAAGTATTAGTTGCTTTCCATTGCTTTTCCCAATCCAGAAGAAAGAAGTTTGTCTTTGCTAGGACTCGATAGATGTTGTCACCTTACTGCAGGTGTCTCAAACTAAGGTCCCTGAGGGCCGGTATCCTGCAGATTTTAAATGCATCTCAGTTTCAACAGAGCTGAATCCAATGTGAGCTCATTAGCGGAGCTATTGAGTTAGTTTAACCATTTGATTCAGGTGTGAAGGGCAACTAAAAGTCCTGGGACAGCAACCCTCCAGGATCTGAGTTTGATTCCACTGACTTAGACCTGCTGTAGCATGGTATACTTCTTAGGCTCTTCTCAGGGAGGTTGAAGGAAGTTCCTGACCAATAATCACATTTCAACGAGCTTAAATAAATTTACTGACATCATGTGGTTACACAGGGAAGCAGCCTGTCTGAGGTGCTGCCTTATGATAAATTCACAGGTGTGTCCCTCGATGTTTTGAATTAACATATTAGAAGCTAACAAAGCACTGCACCTTCATCTGAGATTTCCCAAATGATGGATAGATTTTATTAAGCTGTCTGCCCTCAGTTAAGAGCTGGAAGACTGAACGTTTCCCACAGCTAAATGAGGATAGAACTGAGATCATTCTCTTTGCACCAGAAAAAAAAAGAAAAACAATATAGATAAAGTAGATCCTTGGGCCTTTTTATCTGCCCAAATGCTCAGAAACCTTGAGATAACCTCAACATTTGCCCTGAAAAATCATGTACAATTTCTTGTCTTTTAGTTTCTATCATCTGCAGAACATTTCCAAGCTTAGCCTTGCTGTCCCTCATCCAGAAATGGAAATAGTTATCCATTTTGTCTCGTATTGATTTTCATCATTCACTTTGTACACGTTTAAAGAATGAGCGTGACTTGAGCGGTTACAGTTTGTGCAGAAAGCTGCTGCTTGGCCTCTGAATGGATCTTTAAAGTTCTGTCACTTATAGGGGAGTGTTGGCCTAGTGATTAGAGCAGTGCGCTTGTGTAACGAGAAGGTTGGAACTACCAAGTTCGATCCCCACAGTCTCCACTCTGGGTTCCTGAGCAAGACCTTTAACCCCATACTGCTCCCCGGGCGCCGCACAATGGCAGCCCACTGCTCCCCAAGGGGATGGGTCGAATGCAGAGAGTGAATTTCCAATCCAATCCACTTTATTTATATTGCACGATTTAAATAAACACAAGGTTTCCAAAGTGCTGCACAAAAAAGATAAAATAAAAGCACTGCCCCCACAGGATAAAAATATGCATGTGTATACATAAAATCAACATGTGTATACATAAAATCAACACTCTACATGGTGTCAAAAGCCAAAGAAAAGAGGTGGGAATTTCCCCATTGTGAGACAATAAAGGGATTTAAATTACATTTTAATGCAACTCAATTGGCTGCAGGTTTATCAATGAGTGCATTTCAAGATTTTAGTTTTGACTTGCTGAGGGTTGCATGGAATCAGGCCGTTTACATAGCTAAACTTTTACATCCTGCACCTCTATCAGAGCCTTAAGGTCCTGTGTTGAAAACCTGCTGATTGTTAGGGGTGGGTAAAAAAATCGATTTAATCAAATTTGAATCAATTCCTTTAAATTTTTGCAAAATCAACGTCTAGGGAATGAGATTGATTAGTTTTATAGTGACGCATTCATAGTGACACATTCAAATGAGCAGGAAAGATGCACTCCAGATGACTTCAAGCCAGATCGCTGTAAATATAGCTAATAGGTTGACTGAAGACATTAACAAATTATTACAGACAACGCTGCACATATGGTTTTTGCAGTGGAGATAATGCAGCTCATGCATGTCTGCTGTGTCCTCGCTGTGTCACGTCCGCTTGCTCAACTGAGGCTTCACTTTTTCACTTTTCATAAACAAGTTTGCACTTTTGAGACAGTTTTGTTCACATCTCAAGTTTAAACTGTCCGATTTACTAGTTTGCATTTTGTGTTAAATATGATAGGAAAAAATAAAATACATGAGTATTTTGAAACAGTTGAACCACTTTCATTATTGTAGAAACAGATCGAATCGAAATGAATCGATTTAGAACTGTGTGATTCAAAATCGAATCGGTTCAGGACTTTGGCGAAAATACTCAGCCCTATTGATTGTCATCCATTTAAAATAAAAAAAAAACAAAAAAAAAAACATCGGAGATCCCTTCTTCCCGCCCTCAGTGGGACTAAATGCTCTCTTTGCTTTTTTATTCATCGTTTTAAATCTGATTTTGCTTAGATTGGCTTCACTTTGTGAGTTTTATCTTAAAAAATGCTTTATAAATAACGTTTTAACTACTTTTACTCTAGGTGGATGTAAACTTCAAATGTTTATGGAAGTAATAAGTATTTACTCCTGCAGCATTTAGAAACTAGAAATGAATTTCATATTTCCAACTGATATCTGTGTGCATTTTTCAGTTGGTTAACTTTAATCATTAAGTAAAAGTTTCCTCATTTGTGTTTTTTCTTTTTTCTGTCCGCCCACAGAAGATGCAGCACTAATGAGAAGCTCTCTACGTTTCAATGAGTGAAGCACAAGCTGAAGTCGTGAACATCAGCGGTCCACAGTAACAGTAAGGTATCTTCATTTCTGCCTGTGAAGACTTAATTACATGTCATCATGTCATTACGCAGTCTATTATATTTCCTCGTCTACCAAGATCCTGTCTCCGCTCATTGTTTGTGAAGATTTACGTGGCAATAAAAGTGGGCTTAAGAGACAGCAGGGGGCATAGGGGGCAAAGACAAGGACAATTCAGACACATTATTCAACCGCACAGATTCCACGGCTTGTTTTTAAAGCTGGTGACATTTAAAGCTGTGTTATTTATCAGCTCAGAGAAAATAGGAACGTATGGTGGTGAATTGTCTTTTTCTTCTTTAAGGGATTTATTTTGCAGATAAATATCAGTGCAGAAGATGCTGCTGTCCTTAAACTCCAAACCCACAGCCTGTGCTTTGGCTCTGCTGTCTAATATATATATATATATATATATATATATATATATATATATATATATATATATATATATATATATATATATGAGTTTTTATTGATTTTAATGCTTTATTATACATTTATGGTCTTTCCTTCAACTTCATAATTCATATCATATTAAACGCCCCGTTTGCCCACAACATAAAATAATTAGATGGAAGGTAAAAAGAAGTTAAATGATCTAAGAAAGCATTTGGAAAAGTTAATGCAAGGCAACCAGAGATGCACAAAAGTTTCTAAAATATGGACATTTGCAGCTCAATGCATAAATCATGAGCCCACATCTACACCCTGATTCTTTATGCTTTTCTTTTTGTGAAATCTTGGTCATCAAACTAATTCCAGGTAGAAGATTTATTTCAGTTTGTTCATTGAAGGTTTCAATCTTCAGTACTGGTGTTGCTAAGGTCTTTAAAACCTGAATTTCTACATCACTAAATCATCTTAAAGGACTTTGAAATTGTGCAGAGATTTCCCCCTTTAGTTTCATAGGATGCTTTGCTGAGAGTTTGGAACTTCATGTTTGGCTTAAAGACGTCTGCAGGCTCCTTTTTAAATGAAGGGTGACATGCAGGGCACCAGATGTGACTGTAAAGGTCAGGAAAATCACATTTATATTCAGTTGAAATCAGAAGGAATAAATTGCCCTAATGACTCACCAGAGTCTCTGCCATGTTGGACTGATGACGCCGTTTGTAGAATCGTTATTTCCTCATGCATTTTTGTCAAAAAGGGTCCATTTATGCATTACATAAAAAACTAGAGGTGATGAGGATTAGATTAAAAGGAAGCAATAAGGGCAACAATAAATGCATTCACTGGGTAAAAACAAATAGTATAGTAAAATATACTAAAAATATTTAGAATTTTTTAAAACATTATTTAAAACGTTAGATAATTTTATGAAGAATGTATGTATGTACTCACAATGAAAAAATACTTCATTTTTGTTGAGCTGCGTGGCTCAGAATGTTATGTAGGTATATATTGGACCCAGACAGAAATAAAATATGTGAAAATGAAAAACATTCAAATGGATGTAAAATGGAGAAAGACTTTAGACTTTTTTTTTTTTTATTTGTCCCCAAGGGTAGATTCTTTTTCACATACACAGAGCTCGTTTACACAAAGACATAAAAAAAAAGACACCACAGTAAACACCAGCACAAGTACAAGACACGATACGAGACATGATACACTCAACGGGGCCTTTTGTTTAAAAAGGTGATGGCTGAAGGGATCAGGCTCCTGCCAAAACGGGCCCTTCTACACCTGAGTGCCCTGTACCTCCATCCAGAGGGGAGGGGTATGAGGTAGTCCTGTAGTGGGTGAGTGGGGTCCCGTTCTATGGAGAGTGAAAAACGTCCAATGGCCTGTTGGTTTGCGTCTGTGAGGTTGGGTGTGGGGAGTCCAATGATTTTAGCAGCTGTGTGTGTAACCTTTGTGAGTTTGGTTTTGTTTTTAACGGTGAGAAGATTAAAGAAACAAGTAGAGCAGTATAACAGGATGGGCTGAATAATTGATTTGTACAGAAGTAATAACAGATGTGGTGAAACATAGAGCCCTTTGAGTTTCCGGATTATGGAAAGTCATTGTTGGCTTTTTTTATGAATGTCTGTGATGTGATGGTCAAATGTGAGAGAGCTGTCGATTGTTACACCAAGATATTTGAAGCTGTCCACTGTTTTCACTGATTGTGGCAATATATATGCTTTAACGTGGCATGGATGCTAAATGCACTGCTGATGAACATACTGTATCAGTGATGCAGAAACAAGAAAAACAGTCTCATATTTTTTGCAAAAATATCAGCCGGCTGACGTATCTACCTCCAATCCTTTTAAAGACACCCTCAACATAGGACACCCACAGAAAACAAAATAAACAAAAACAAACTAACACCCTTAACTCTTAAAAAAAATAAAAAACAGCAACAGTTGTTTAAGACATGATTATAAAACTGTGTACATAAAGAAATGAATGTAGCAGGTGGTATTCAGAGTCCAGTAACGGCTTATTGGTAAAAAACGTCACCGTTATGCAGAAAAAAGCTTATTTTTTTATGAGCATAACCACCGTTTGAATGACATTTGGGCTTCTTCCCCACAGCATTGCAGCACAGCCACTGATTAAACTGAAAATTTTACCACAATATTGGAAATCTGCCATTAACAAACGTCTTATTGGGTTCAATGGCCGCGGAAACTGTGTTGCTATATTTACTTACTATATATTAACTTTTCAGACCTTTTTAGCAATTTTCTTTTCAGAAATGAATCACGACAAATAAAGCGGCTATTTCCTTTCTTGTTGGAGCATGTTGGTGACAACATGGAAGCAGCTGAGTTTCATGTGTTCATCAATAAGTGAGTGAGCGCCCCCCACCCTCCTCTAAAACACTGAGCCAGACGCTGTAGCAGCATGTTTCTACAGTCAAAGAAAAGTGACTCTCCTGTTTCCCCATTGAGCATGAGCCACACATGATACCCTCTGAGTTAAAAATTGGGATGTAAATATAATATTTGTGTGTTTTTTTTTTTTTACCTGTGTAATTAAAATAGATTCTAACTGCATTTAATTCCGACACAACCTCACCCACTGTGTTCCTCTGTTATCTGTCTTTAAGTTGAATTTGATACCAAAATAATTTAGTCTCAGTTGAAGTTATAACCTTCTGGAAAACTTGATCTTTTTTAATAAAGTTTATCCTGAGTTTTAAATGTTTTTTATGACTTTCTTTCTTGCTAGTATTGATTTACCCCCAATATGCAGATTATGTCGTTTAGCAGCTATTGCTGCAGTATTCTGTGAAATGGGCTGTTGTTTCATTTGATGGTCAGCAGGGGGGCTTATATGTGTTTCTGCAGAGTGATATGTGTTTGTATGTATGTATTTTGGTGAATTGTGAGTGTGACTAAAGTGGCGTATTGCTTTCGCAGCTTTAGGGAAAAAGCAGTGTTTAATGTCTGTTTGTTTTGGATTCAATGTTCCGTTATCTTTTTTTTCTGATGGAAGTGGGAAAACCAGAGTATTGGATGGATGGGTGAGGATCTCTGGCCTATATTTAGAAGAGAATTACTGTTTTCTGATAGTTTTGTTTTCCTCTGCAGCAGAAGAGGCTAAAGTTGAAAGAAGCCGCTTCCCACGAGGCTTTCCCTGCTGACCATCTGGTTATTCCTCATTTCCAAACAGAATTAAACAGCCTCTTGAAATGATCGATGTTCCCATCATCCATTGTTCATCCAGATTTTCCCTGCAGGGAGTCTGATGCTTATATATCCTGCAGAGGCAGGTGAGAGACACATGCAGGGAAACTGTGATATGGGGTAATTAGAAGAGACCAGTTAACTCAGCAGTCAGGTTATTGAACTGTGGAGGGCAGTTGGAGCCCCCCTGTCTCAGGTTTTCTTCAACATGTAACTGATTGTGGTGCACTGCCACTGTAAAATAAAAGCTGCCACACCTTCAGAATCGATCAATTGGAGACGACAGTACAGTGCTGCCGACTTAGCTGCTTTGTTTCTATATTTGGGGACTTTTCTGACCCTTGGAGCAACCTCAAAAAAAGAGACTAAGCACAAATCTACTGACTTTACTCTGTTTTTGGTGAGTATGTTAGAACAATTGCAAGGGCTGCTGTCAGTCTCTCTCCCTGCTTCCCTCAGCGCTGTCTCACAGGCACAGGCTGCTACCTCGTCCTGAAAGTCCCTCATACCGTCCATGCAGGAGGAGACCTGCTTTGTTTTCCTACATCTAATGTATTCTTGCCCAAATCTGCAGGTTGTTCCATACTGGTTTACAAAGCGGGGAGTGTTGGCCTAGTGGGTTAGAGCAGTGCGCATGTGCTCTGAGAAGGATGCAAGTGCCCGGTTTGATCCCCACAGGCTCCACTGGGTTCCAGAACAAAAGCTTAACCAGTCAGCCGCAATGAATTTTGAGCGGCTGGCTGGCTCAAGTGGTAAGTCACCTGTCCTGGGGGGAATGAACTGCCAGTGTGGGTCCTTAGGCGAAACGCTTCATGCTAATGCCTGCTTTGGGGAGTGATGGCCTAGTGGTTAGGACATTGCGCTTGTGTTCCAGATTTCAAGCCCCACCCCCACAGACTGCCACCCTTAACCCACACTGCTCCCCAGGTGCTGCACAATGGCAGCCCACCAGATTAAAAGCAGAGAATTCCTTTCCTTGCTCTGTATTTGTGACCATGTAATGACCAGTGTTAACGTACTGAAATCTCGGAGTCAAGTAAAAGTATAAGTACCTCTCCAAAATATGACTTTGGTAAAAGTCCAAGTCACTGACTGAAATGTTACTTGAGTTAAAGTCTTAAAGTATCTGAAATGTCTTGTACTTTAATATAAGAATTAGTGTAAAAATAGATGTACTCAAGTAATGTAGTAAAAAGTATAAGTAAAAAGTAAATGCAGTTTGAATTACTTTTTTTAACATTTTGTTAAACTTTGAAGGTTAAATTCACTTAAAATAATATACACAACCAAGTATAGGATAAATTTAGACTGGCTTTGCGAAACAGGTGTATCCTATTGGTGTTGATGAACAAGCCCAGGCAAGACCTGACTTTG